AGTAGCAATGAGAAAGATGAAAAAGAAATTATTAAAAAGAATTCCATTTCTAAAGGTATCAAATGAAAAAATAACTAAGGGGGTACAAAACTTTTACACCGAAACCTAAAAAACAGTGGTGAAAAAAATTAAAGACCTAAATAAATTAAAAGATATCCCATGGACATGGATTAGAGGACTTACTATTAGTAAGATGGCAATACTTCCCAAAGTGATCTGCAGATGACTAAGAAAATGCCAATAGCCTTTTTTTGAGGAAATGGAAAAAATTGATGCACAAATTCATATGGCACTTAAGGGACCAAGAATAACCAAATCAACCTTGAAAAAGAAGAAGAAAAGTGAATAGCTCACACTTCCCAATTTTGAAACTTATTACAAAGTTACAATGTAATGGTTACAAATCGGGCTGCAAACCTTAAGGTTCAAGACTACCAGCTGTTCTGGGACAAAGATAAGGTTTTCTGCTTCCGTAAAGATTTACAGCTTTGGAAACCCTGTACAGGTCACTATGAGTCGGAACCAACTCCACAGCTCATCACCACCATGACAACCAACAGTAATCAAAACTGCCTGAATCTGGTTCAAGGGCAGACACATAAATCAATGGAACAGAATTGTAAGCTCAGAAATAAATCCATCCATGCATGTATGTTTTTTGACAAGGTTTCAAAGTCCATTCATTGGGGAAGAAAGCAGTCGCTACAAATAGTGCTGGCAAAAGTGGATATTCACATACAAAAAAAAAAAAAAAAAGGAACAGGATCCATACCTCACATCATATACTACAAACATTAACTCAAAATAGATCAGAGACCTGAATATAAAAGTTAAAACTATAAAGTTCTTAGAAAAAAACATAAAGGCACAACTATGAAACCTAATTTTTTAAATGATAGATTACTAAACACAACAACAAATAAACAGCAGAAGACAAGTTAGAACATTAGGATTTCATAAAAATTAACTACTTAATGGCTTATCAAAATATTTTATCAAGAGTAAAAAGACAATCTACAAACTGGGGGGAATAGCTAACCATATATCCAATAAGGGTCTAATATTAAAATATATTTTAAAAAACTTCTATACCTTAACAACAAAAAGACAACCCAATTGAAAAGTAGGCAAAGGACATGAAAAGACATTTCATCAAAGAGGATATTCAAATGGCCAACAAACACATGAAAAGATACTCACTGTCATTAGCCATTAAAAATCAAAACCAAAAACAACACACTGCCATGAGTTGACTCTAACTCATAGTGACCCTGTAGAACAGAGCAGAAGTCCCCACCCCCACCCCCACAGGGTTTCCAAGGCTGTAATCTTTACAGAAGCAGAATGCTACATCTTTCTACCACAGAGCAGATGGTGGATTCGAACCACTGATTATCAAAGCAACCATCTCACTCCTGTTAAAATGGCTTTGATTAAAACAACAGAAAACAACAAATAGCTGTGAGGATGTGGGCAGAAATGACAACTCACCTAACGGTACAAAGTATTTACTTATATTTAGAATATATGAAAAATGCTTACAACTCATTAAGAAGAAAACCTAGTCAACATGCACAAAGGATGTGGATATTGCTCTAAAAATGGCCTAAACAAAAGGGCAAAAAGTACAATTTTTAAATGTTCAACATCATCAAGGAAATTCAAATAAAAACTTTTTACATCCATTAATAGTGAAAAAGACAAAAGTGTGGGCAAGGTTATAGGGAAACTGGAACTCTAAAACACTGCTGGTGGGAATGTAAAATGGTGCAGCCACTTTGGAAAACAATCTGATAGTTTTCAAAAAGCTAAACAGAGTTAACATATAATTCAGCAATTCTCTTCCTCAGTATATAACCAAAAGAAATAAAAACATATGTCCACACTAAAGCTTACACATGAATGTTCATAGTATCATTATTTATGATAGTCAAAAGGTGAAAACAAACCAAATATCAAATGATTAATAAATAAATGTGGCATATTCAAACAACAGACGATTCTATAATAAAAAGGAATCAAGTACTGATACATGGAAGAACCCTGAAAACATATGGTAAATTTAAGAAAAGGTGCAAAATACCACATACTTTGTAATTCCATTTATATAAAATGTCCAGAATAAGCAAATCTATGGAGACAGAAAGCAAATTAGTGATGCTTTATGCTGGAAGGAATGGGGGCATCAGAGATAATGGCTAAAAAATAAGGGATTCTTTTTGAGAAGATGAGACTGCTTTAATATTGATTGTGGTGATGGTTTGACCCATCTGTAAATGAATAAAAATCACTGAACTGTATACTTTATATGAGTGAATTGTACAGAATGTAAATTACATATCCAAAAAAGCTGTTACCAAACAAACATGTTAGGGTGATCCACAGTATAAAATGTTTTATGGTAATTTCAGAAGTGAATCAAGTCTGAATGCCAATTTATTGTCTTTAACAATAATTACTCTAACAATGCAGTTAGAGTTGTTGTTGTTGCTGTTGTTAGGTGCCATCGAGTCGGTACTGACTCATAGCAGTTAGAGTTGTTGTTGTTAAGTGTCGGAGAGTCTATTCTGACCCATAACGACCCTGTATAGGGTTTCCAAGGAACAGCTGGTGAACTTGAACCACTGACGTTGCAATTCAAACCAATTTGCAGTCTGACGCATTAGCCCACAGAGCCACACCAAGACTCCAGCAGTTAGAGTAGTTGAATTCTTCAAGCTTTCCCAAAAGTTAAGTATTCATTTTAATACTTGGTATAGTTTGATGTGCTCTTTGATATTAAAGTTCTTATTAAATTTAGCATGCAATTTTATAAGTGAAAACGTTGATTGGTCATGTCATTATGCACAACTTACTAAACAACGTCTCTTTGCTATACACAGTTACTTAAAAATGATGGGCATCTCAGATCTCATTTTAGGTGATACAGGCTTATTACTTTCATAGTGTCTAATACATTTTTTATCTATTTCTGTAAATATAAGTTCCACCTTGTATATTTCTCTAACTATAAAAGGTGCAACTACTTAGAAAACAATTTAAAAGTTAAATAGTAATACAACAGATTAGTGTTACAAAGATTTTAAGTTCACTCCATTTTTTTTAAAGAGTTCAGTTTTTTATTGAACATGTTACAAAAGGGACTTAGGAAAAATGACTAAAGCCCAACTTTAAGTCAACTATCTTTTGAAAAAGATACCAAAGATGACAAAGAGTAAAGACATAATACAAAAAATGTTAAACTGTTTTATTCATAAGGGATTAGTTTTTAAAATATTCCTTATGTTTTGTGTAAATATAAAATGGTAGCAAACCCAGTTACAGCTTTGTGATTTACAGAAAACCCTGGAGTTAGTCCTAAAATAAAGCTCTTAAAAAACAAAACAAAAACATTTCTTCCTGGAAAATTGTAGTCAATCTTCATTTTAAAGCTAGGTAAATCTGAAATGGAGTCCTGGTGTGGCCCTGTAGGATAAGTACTGGACTACAAGATTGGTGGTTCTAACCCACCAGCCACTTCTAGCAAACCCTATAGAGTCGTTTCGAGTCAGAACGATGGGACTTAATAACTAACAAATCTGAAATGAAGTAAGTTTGACAACTTGTCCAAATCTGTGGTAGAGATCTGAAAAACAATTTCTGATGTCCAGGTTTATGATTAAAAACCTGTAAAGTAATGTGCAATAAGTCAAGGGAAACACAACAGTAATTTCCATTCTGTTAGCATGAACAAACTTAGGAAGCCTTGTCCTGATGCTTCAAACATCTACAGCAACTGTTGTTTGTTGTTACGTGCCATCGAGTAGATTCCGACCCATAGTGAACCTGTATAGGGTTTCCGAGGAGCAGCTGGTGAGCTTGAACCTCCAATCTTGAGATTCCAAGCGACTTTGCAGTTCAAGTGCATTAACCCACAGCGCCACGCCAGGACTCCTACAGCAATTAGTACTGTTCAAGACTCTAACTTTATCTCAAGTGTTTTCATTGTTATGTTCAATTTTACCTGTTCGAAAGTAGCATAATTGTAATGTCAAACTGATAAAGGCTCTATTGAAGTAACCAAGGAAAATGTAACTGGTTCTTGACAGCTTAAATCAGATGTAGAAAATGTAACTTTCCTTTTTCCTGGCAACCCACACACTAATCATGATTGTTACTGTTTTATTGTTCTTTCTAAAAATTTATTATATGACAGAAACTATCAATAATTTTTAAATGCAAAAAATAGATTGTTACTGCTCACCCCCATGAAATTTGATTCAACTGTGTTAACCAATTTTTTTTTTCAATAACAATAAAGAATATTCCCAGGGTCTACATTTTTAAAAATACACATTCAAGTATGCAGGGTGAAATAACCTATCTGGAATTTGCTTTAGAATATTTCAGCAAAGGAAAAAAAGAAAAAGACAAAGATGAAACATTTGTGGTAAGTATTGACAACTGTTGAATCTGGGTGATGGGTATAAAGTGGTTCGTTTCACCTTTTCTCCACTTCTATCTATGCTTCCCATTTTTCATAGTAACTTTTTAAAAAATGAATTATAACCAAATAAGGTTACCATCCAGAAAATTAATAACGGGTGTTGTGTATGTTACTGTTCTTTTCTTTAGAACAAAACAAGAAGGGCCTCAAGAAAAGGTGAAGGATCCTCTCGCAAGACCAGTGTGGGCCCCGCGCCACTACCGGGCAGAAGGCGCGCACGTTTCCTGAACCTCAGAATCTGACAAATCACTCTGTGCGCTCTACGGCTAAGAAGACCCGCGGAGCTCGATTTGGAAGTGGCTCACACAGGGTTTCCGCTGGCGGCTCTAGGAAACCCAAGAAACTCCGCTCCATACCCCCCAGGTACTGGCCCAGACTGTCCGTTCCGCCCAGGAGCGATGCCCGGCCCCCTACAGTCTTCGACCCTCTAGCGACCCCCAGCACAGCCCTTTGGTCCCCTCCCCTCACCTCACACCCGAGACCCCAGCGACCCGCAGCCCCGCCCACCGCCTACCTTCCAAGTCTGATTCCTCCTCCGATTCCTCGTCCGAATCGGCGACGGGTTCGGAGCTGGGCTCCGGCCCGTAGGAAACGCGAGTAGGGGCGGCGGCGAGCGGGACTGGGGCCAGGTGGCGGGCCTCACGCAGGCGGGTGAAGTAGTCTACGGCGAAGTCGACAAGGTCGGGCGGCTGCTGTCGCAACACCTCCACCGTATAACCCTGTAGCAGCTCCGTGAGCCCTGGCGGAATCTGAATGTGGCTCATGCCGGCGGTGGCCACGGGGACGGGCGGGTCTGGGCCGCCGGCGGCCACTGCCTCCCGCGCTCCCTAACGCCGGCCTCTCACCCGGCGTTCGCACGGTCGCTTCACGCGCGGCCTTGGTCCGGCCTTCCTCTTACCGCGCCGCCCTTCGGCCGGGTCTGCGTTTCCTGGCCTCCCGACCCTGCACTCTCTCCGCCGGCCTGGAGCCACCGCCGCCGTGGCTCTGCTGTCACTAAGCCACCGCCGCCGCCGCGAAGATCTACTGGCGGGCGGGAGGGTGGGGCGGGCGGGACACGCGCCCGGGTTGTGACGCACGGGGCCGCGGACGTGCGCGTCCCCGCCGAGCTCCGATCCGCAGTGCGCGTGCGCCCTTAGGCCGCCATTCTCCCAGGTGCCCTACCGTGCAACTCTAGGATACGGGGTTTGCATTGGACTAGGTCTCTGGCACCTGCCTCTTGATTTAGGGCCTGAGAGAATGAAGAAATGAATGGTCTACATGTGAGGCAGGGTACTAGTTAATGCCTCTCACCCGGTGTTGAAAACTTTTTGTTCATTCTTGTTTGCCCAGTGGCAGCTGGGTTACACTGGACCATCGCAGTGAGAACCACACTGTTGTGGTGAGTAACAGAACCCACTTGAGGGATGACCATTCAAGCCTGAGCAGGATTCAGCCACAGGTACACCTGAAAGAAAGCCATCTGAGCACAGAGGACAGCAAAAACTAAGACCTGGCAGAGTCAGGACTGTCCTGGCTAAAGGGGAAATAGGACCTCGGGAGGCTGACAGAAGATCTGAAATGTCAGACAGTAAGGTCTTATAGGTAGTTACGAATTTCAGTGAAAGCAATTTGGGACCTACAAACAGAGAAATAAACATGTAAGAGCTCACCCAGCCGAACTGTACATTAGAAAAGGGAACAAGGCCCAGAGCAAGAGCAACTTCTTTGCCAATTCTTCTCTTGACCCCTTCCACAATGTCCCCGGTCTAGGTCTGCACATCCCTCCCTTCTGTATATCCTATCTCAGTCCCTTGGCCATCACTGCCTGATAGAGTTGAGAAGATCATAGGGCTGCCCTATACTTCTAGGAAAGGAACACAGGAGGGGATTTCAAAAAGCTCATGGAAAAACCCATAATCCTTTTGTTTCTTAACTTTTAATTGTGAATTGAGGGAAGGTTTACAGAGTATATCCTAAGTTTTACAGTCAGCAAATCATATACTTTGTCTCATTAACAATGACTGCAATACCTTCCAGAACTATTAGTTAATAGTATTTACTTTAATGCTTGCATTCCTCCCTATGTCTGTGTTACCTTCATTTTTCCTCTTGTGTATTGCTTGCCCTGTCACGCTCATGGTACCATGTGTCTACCCTCTAGCCCATGAATAATCTCCCCTCCCCCAAACTCACCAGCACTTCACAACAACAACAAACCATAACCATTTTTAAATGTTTCTTTTATCAAGAAAGCCTTTTCTTAACTTTCTACAACAGTGACCTCATACAATAGTAGTTCTTTTGTGTTTGACAAATATCGCTCAGGAGTCCTGATATGGTGTTTGCTGTCCTGGATTGCTAACCACAGGTTGGCAGTTCAAACCCACCAGCAACTCCTAAGAAGCCCTATACAGTGCTGCTACGAGTCTGAATTGATAAGACAACACTTAACAACAATTTCACTCAGCATAATGTCTTCCAGGTTCACTCATGTTGTGAGGTGTTGTGCAGATTCATTATTATTCTTCAACATTGCAGAGTATTCCATTGTGTGTATTTACAAAAGTTTGTTTAACCATTCTGCTAATGGAAATTCTTCTGCTGGTGAGCATTAGAATCTTGCTTTAATGAATATGGGTGTATATATATCTATGCATGTCACAACTCTTATTTCTTGAGAATATATATAAAAGAGGGATTGCTGGATCATATGATATTTCTGTTTCCAACTTTTGAGACAGTATCATACTGTTCACCACAGTAGTTGCACCACTTCACAGCCCACTAGCAGTGTTCTCAAGGTCGGCAGTTCAAAATTACCAGCCGTTCCGCAGGAGAAAGATGAGGCTTTCTGCCCCTGTAAAGATTTACAGCCTTGGAAACCCTGTACAGGGTCACTATGAGTCTGAACCAACTCCACGGTACTTAACAACAACAAAGCAGTGTTGGCGGATCCAAGTCTATCCACACCCTTGCCAGCATTTGTTTTTGGTTTTTTTTTAAATTTGCTATTTATTAATGCTGGAGTAAGATGAGTGGGTCAAGCTCACCAGCTGCTCCTCAGAAACCCTATACACAGGGTCGCTATGGGTTGGAATCAACTGGACAACAATGACGGCACTTATCAACAACAAGATGATATCCCACTGTGGTTTTGATTTGCATCTTTCTAATGACTAACAATCATGAACATTTTTTTCATGATTATTGGCCACCTGAATGTCTTCTTTGGTGATGAATCTGTTCATGTCCTCCTACCCATTTTTTTTAACTGGACTAGTTACCTTTTTCTTGTTGATGTGTTGAAGTGTTCTACAAATTTTAGAGACTAGCCCTTTGTTTGATATGTCATTGTGAAACATTTATTTTTCCCAGTCTGTGGGTTCTCTTTTTACTCTTTTCATTAAATCTTTTGATACACATAAGTGTCTATCTTTTTTTTCAGTGACTCAAGTCATTTATTTTGTCTTCTGTTTGAGTGTTTTCAGTTTTGTTTAATAGTATATTTATGCCATGTATCAAGCCACTAAGATTGTCCCTATTTTTTTTATTGATAATCTTTGTAAAGTTCTACCACCACTCATCTGTCAGTTTCTTGTACTGTGGTGGCTTGCATGTTACTGTGATGGTGGAAGCTATGCCACAGTATTTTAAATACCAGCAGGGTCAACTATGGTGGATAGGTTTCAGCAGAGCTTCCAGACAAAGACAGACTAGGAAGAAGGAGAGACAGACTACTTCCAAATATTTAGTCACTGAAAACCTTATGAATAGCAGTGGAACACTGTCAGCACCAAAATATTGGATATTGAAACACGATGAAGAGCATCAGAATATTGTCAGATACAGTGCCAGAAGATGAGCCCTTCAGGTTGGAAGGCACTCAAAATGCATCTGGGGAAGAGTGGACTCCTCAAAGAAGAGTTGACCATGATGACACAAATGGAGTAAAGCTTTCGGGACCTTCATTTGCTGATGGGGCAAAAGAGAAAGAACTGTAAAAATCCATTAGTAATCAGAACATTGAATGTTCAAAGTATAAAACTAGGAAAATTGGAAATTGTCAAAAATGAAATAGAATGCTTAAGCATAGATATAGCAGGCATTAGTGAGCTGAAATGTACTGATATTGGCCATTTTGAAACTGGCAATCACATGGTTTACTATTTCAGGAATGACAAATTGAAGAGAAGTTCATCATCAAAACGATCATATCAAGAGCTGTCATGAGGTACAACATTGTCTGTGATAGAATACTGTCCATACACCTACAAGGAAGACCAGTTAATACCATTATTATTCAAATTTACACACCAACAACTAAAGCCAGTGATGACGAAATTGAAAAAACCAACCAACATTTTCAGTCTGAAAGTAATCAAATATATAATCAAAATGTATTGATAATTACTGGCAATGGGAATGCAAAGGTTGGAAACAAAGTGGAAGGCTCAGTAGTTGGAAAATATGGCCTTGGTGATAGAAACAATGCTGGAGATCGCATGACAGAATTTTGCAAGACCAATGACTTGTTCAGTGCAAATACCTTTTTTAAAGAACATAAAAGACAACCATACATATGGACTGCACAAGATGGAATGCAACAGAAATCAAATTGACTACATTTGAGAAAATTAAACAAGTGCCTAAGAGCCAAAATATGTCTTTGAACATATACTACCTAAATTTAGAGGTCGTCTGAAGAACAGATATGATGCATTAGACTGACATTAAAGACCAAAGAACAGACAAGTTGTGAGATGACATCAAGAACATCATACAGGAAGAAAGCAAAAGGTCATTAAGAAGGAAAAGACCAAAATGGATGTCAGAAGAGACTCTGAAACCTGCTCTCCAGCACAGAGATGCTAAAGACAATGGAAGAAATGAGATGAAAAAGCTGAATAGAAAGTTTAAAAGTCAGCCTGAGAAGACAAAGTCAAATATAACAAAATGTTCAAAGACCTGGAGTTAGAAAACCAAAAGGAAAAAACACACAGAATTTCTCAAGCTGAGGGAAATGAAGAAAAAAATTCAACTTGAATTGCAATATTGAAGGATTCTATGATCAAAATATTGATTGATACAGAGAGCATCAAAAGAAGATAGATGTATGACTTAATTGCAACTGTCACAACTGTAAAGGTAGAAGTTCTGTAACAAAAATGGGGGAGTAGTTAACCTTACATACAGTCCAGGAACAGAGGATGACAGGACCATTATGGGAGAAGAGCATGAGTGGAATTTGGGACTCTAACCAGAGAAGCAGTGACACCAGAGATGGAGGCAGAGACAAGGACTTGGAGAGAGAGAGCAGCTGAGAACTCTAGATTCATGGAAAGAGAAAGACCGAGTGCTGGCGGCCAGGAGGCAGGCTTGCAGAATGTGCTCTTTATTTGTTCAAATTATTATATATTCCTAAATGTTTTTGTGTACACACCCCCCAAAAGAGAAAAACAAAACAAAAAACAGAGGGAATAGAAGCAAATACTGTTGAATGATGATGCACAGAGGGATTGTAAATCATTACAATGAAATGATGAGTGTAAAACTGATGTTCTCTCATGTAAACTCACTCAATTCACAATAAAAACTTTTTTTTAAAAATCACATTAGAAGGTCCTGGATAGAGCAGTAGAATATGTGGAACAAAACTCAAAATTATTTTTTTTAAAAAAAGATCGAGCTTACTGATCAGAAAGAGACTGGAGGAACCTTACACTATGGCCCTCAACCATCCTTCAGGTGTGGAAAGGAACTCACCCTTATGGCCCAACTTTCAGCC